GGTATATCAGAGGAAGGACAATCTGTGGAGGTGGCATTTAGAAATAAAGCATGTTGTGGTTGGAGGATGGAGCTGTGACGAAATTCTCAGTGAGATAGCAGTGCCCGTCCCTTTGACTGGTGAATCACTGAGGTATATTAATGGTAGATTCCTAACCCCAACTAATGGAAGAAGCAAAGGACTTAATGCAATTTTTATTACCTTTAGGTAACAATTATGTCAGTAAAACAATGTGGAGGGGTGGTCTGTGAGTAGAGTGTTCTCTACATGAGCTGGATACCTTTTGGATCTGAGTTAANAACTGTGGGTGGTGAACTGTCTTTGCTTGACAGTAGGTGTGGTGGTGGTTATGTTAAAAACAACTTGGCAGGCCGACCCTGTGGCTCACTCGGGAGAGTGCGGCACTGGGAGCGCAGCAGCGCTCCCACCGTGGGTTCGGATCCTATATAGGGATGGCCGGTGCACTCACTGGCTGAGCGCAGTGCAGGCGACACCAAGCCAAGAGTTGTGATCCCCTTACTGGTCACAAAAAAGAAAAAAAGGAAAAAAAAAAACCAGCTTGGCTCCTTTTTGAGACTTTGTGGTCGTAGAATGAGCTCCTAGCGTGTGGAGTTCTTCTGGGACAAACTCAGTGGGTCAGATCTGTAGGCTGGTGCTCCCCACTGGGTCTGAGGTGAGATGTAGGGCCACGTGGAGCCATGTGGTTCTGCTGGCTGGCTGGCACCGGGGTGTTCACCTGCATGGTGCCAGTTCAGGGTGCCGGGGTGGGGCCTGGAGCTTCCCCCCTGCCTGGGTCCAAGGCAGCGGGTGAGGGGACCACATGGAGCCGTGTGGTTCCGCTGGCTGACTGGCACCAGTGGACTCACCTGCGCAGTGCTGGTTCAGGGTACTGGGGCAGGACCTGGAGCTCCCCCCGTGCCTGGGTCCAAGGTGGCAGGTGAGAGGGGCCGTGTGGAGCCACGCGGTACCGCTGGCTGGCCGGTGCCCCAAATTTACCTTCTTAGTAATCTTTGCCAGTGGCTTTTATTAAACGTAAGTTTCTTCGTCAAGTACTACCTTCATGTAGTAAAGCAGAGTTACCTGAACTGGCTAAGAAACCCATTCTGGGATTGAGAACATGCTGTGGTTGTGTCCTTTATGAATCTGAGTGAGTCCTCATTCCCTGTTTATCCAGAGGCAAATGAGGAGCAGAGAGGGTCTGGAAGCAGCTGTCAAGACATCTGCTCTCCTGTTCACCACCTCTTGGGTCTGGATCCAGCTACCTGCATTTACAATTTACAGCAATTTAGAATACAACCGTGAGAGCTCTGGGGAATTGAGAGAGTAGTGATTAATATTCTCAACCCATCTTCTGCTTGCTAGTTTTTCCTAGTAGGGTAGAGGTAATTCAGTCATATTTCAGGGTATATCAGAGGAAGGACAATCTGTGGAGGTGGCATTTAGAAATAAAGCATGTTGTGGTTGGAGGATAGAGCTGTGACGAAATTCTCAGTGAGACAGCAGTGCCTGTCCCTTTGACTGCTGAATCACTGAGGTATATTAATGGTAGATTCCTAACCCCAACTAATGGAAGAAGCAAAGGACTTAATGTAATTTTTATTACCTTTAGGTAACAATTATGTCAGTAAAACAATGTGGGGGGGTGGTCTGTGAGTAGAGTGTTCTCTACATGAGCTGGATACCTTTTGGATCTGAGTTAAGCTGATTGAACAGCAGGAGCCTCCATGGAAATGTTGCATCCTACTTGGAATAGCACTTTTAGGATTGTGTAGACAGGAATTGTTGTTTTATTTAATTTTTTATAAGTAAGCTAAAATATTGACTGCAGGTTGTTAACATACATTCTACATATTGACTTAAGGTGGACCAAACTAACAGATGTTAAATGTTACACAGAAGCATGGTGCTGTGGATTTTGAAGAAATTACTGAGGCAACAAAGCAAGAAGATGGAGTTTTGTTTTGTTTTTTTTCAATTATAAACTGCCTTGTAAATGTTCCATATCAGACACCAAGACTTGATTAAGTTGCTGTCTATTTTATAACCCAAGTTGGTAATGAAAATGTATCTCATTAGGCTGTAGAAAACTCTCATGTATCTGTTGTTCTTTGGTGGCAGAAAGTTATGTGATAGAGTTCTACTAGTTCTACTAGTTTTACTTGTGAAAAGTATAACCCATGGGAGCATTCACAGGTTGCATGTGGGAGCTTTCTTGTTTCTGTATTCGTGACCCAGCTAAATAAAGGACTTTCTCACTTTGACTTTAACAAGATCTGCCTAGCTATCTGTGTTTTAGACACATAATTTGTACCTTTAATCACCTTGACATTTGTCATTTAGTCCCAGACACCTTGTGACCAAAAGAACCAGCAAAAATTTCATGTGAGGAGGCCGGCCCGGTGGCGCACTGCTACAGTGCGCCGCTTGGGAAGTGCAGCAACGCTCCCGCCGAGGGTTCGGATCCCACATACAGACCGGTTCCCGCTCACTG